ACATAAGCTTGGGCCTCTGAATAGTTGCACTAATTGTAAAGCGGGAACGACGGGACGAATTCTTCCCGGAATTTATCCTACACTCTCGGAATATTTTATTTTTAGCACTCAGTCTCTACAAAATTTTATTTGATTTGATCATATGGTCTTACTAAGTTACCAACAACATTTTAGCGGTTTAATTTTTTAAAAAAATCAAAAGGTATATTATACATTCCGGGAAAATTTCGTTCAATCATAGTTCTTTTTACATTAAAAAGCAACATGGCTGTGAAGTTGTTGAAGCAAACATTTACTAATTTTTTTTAGCGAAAGGAATTATTACTGACTTAACCTTACGATCTGGAGTAAAAAATCAACTTTAAATTGTTGATTTTGCAAATACTATGCAGCTGTTCGCTGCAGTTCAAACACCGTCTGTATACATGTGAATAACCAGGGCCCAAGCTAATGTCGAGTAAAAAAAAGCAGGTCAAATTTGGAATTGATTTCACCATATCTCGAGAAGTACATGAAATTTCGGAATGAACTTTGGTAGTAATGTAGATTGATTATATATGTATAGATATGAAAGTAAAACTTTAGAGAATTCGATTTAAAAGTATTTTATTAGCGAAAGTGGGTACCCTATGTAAGGAGTTCCAAACCTTTATCTTTTTAATACACCCCGATTTTTTAAAGTCGGATTTAAGCGATTCAAAGGCCTGTGGCAAAAGCTAAAAGATTTTTTCGAGTCTTATATTTCTTACCATGCAAGTTATTTTTATATAACAAGAACAGTCCATTTGTCAGTAATGGCAAAAAGGATGGATGGATAATGATATCCTTTCCCAGAATGAGCATCGTGACGATCACAAGTCGAGTCCTCTGTCTTTGGAGCATCATTTATCCAATGTGGATAACGTATGGGCGCCTTCTGATATGTTTAAAGTCTAAAGTAAATGCTATTTTAGGGATTTAATAATCATATTATTGTTAAGATATTTAACTATTTTTCTAACTGTAATTTAGCGATCTTTCGTTTAAAAAAAATCAACTAAGGACACATCTCTTCCCCAGCTTGCTTTCGCTGAGCAACAGAACACACATAATTTTTAACCATCTCCCTTCCTTCACTAAAACAATAAATCCAATTAATAATTGAACTTCTGGCAAATCTTTTATTAGCTCACCTGAGCTGAAAGCTCAAGTGAGCTTTTCTGATCACCCGTTTTCCGGCGTCCGTCCGTCTGTAAACTTTTCACATTTTTAACTTCTTTATCTTAAGAACCACTGGGCCAATTTTAACCAAAGTTGGTACAAAGCATTTCTGAGTGAATGGAGATTCTAAATTGTTAAAATGAAGGGCCAAGCCCCATTCCAAGGGGATGAAATCAAGAAAAGGCAAAAATAGGGTGGGGTCATTAAAAATCTTCTTCTCAAGAACCACTGGACCAGAAAAATGAAACTTATGTGGAATCTTTCTGAGGAAGTGTAGATTCTAAATTGTCAAAATCATGGCACCGGTTGGTATGGTGGGGCCACAATATGGAATCTAAGTTTAACATTGAAATATAAAGGAAAAATCTTTAAAAATCTTCTTTTCAAGAACCAAGTGCACTGGATAAGGAAAGCTGAAACTTAATTGGAAGCTTCCTGAGGTAGTGTAGATTCTAAATTGATCAAATCATGGCGCCCGGGGTAGGGTGGGCCACAATAGGGAATGAATTTTACATTGAGATATTTATAGAAAAGATCTTTAAAAATCTTTTTCTCGCGAACCACTGGACCAGGAAAGCTGAAACTTATGAGGAAGCTTCCTGAGGTAGTGTAGATTCTAAATTGTTCAAATTATGACCCCTGGGAATAGGGGGGGGGGACAATAGGGATTATTTATTACTAGGGGAAAATCTTTAGAATTCCTCAAGAGCAAATCCATGATGAATTATATTAATGTGGAAACATCCTCTGATGTGTAGGGTGGGACTTCAAAAGGCGATCAAAAATACAGAAGAATACATGTATTTTGGGAGAAAAAATCTGATGCAGAACAGCAACAGCGAAGTGACTAAGGTGAGCGTTGTGGCCCATGGGCCTCTTGTCTTCATAAACCTTGTACAAATTATTATATGCCACTGCAAAGGAATTTCCAAGGTATGCTTTAAACTTTACAGCGGTTTGTCGCTCGAGTACGACTGAGAAAACCATTTTTTGTAACAAGTCATCTATATATTGACAAAATTTGTATTGAAACCATACCTTGTTCTTTGGATGATCCTCGTAAAACCCAAACACCGTATGTAATAGTTGGGCTATATATATTAAGCCAAACCGATACATCTGTATGGTAACCACTGATTACTACTCTTTGGGTATACTTTCAAACATTCAGGTAAAATATATCCAAAATTTTCATGAAGTTAAAAATAAGGCTTATATATACAATCCAATATATACAAAAGTGTGGAAAGATCGAAATTTAACAAAAATATCTTTATGTCTTGAAACAATTCAAAGAGAATGAACAAGCACGTATTCACAGCTTCGTGTGCCACGTGGCTTCTCATTTGAACAAACTTGAATTTAATTTTGTAAGGAAGTTTTCGCATGTTTCATCTTTTCTGACCTAGTTGTTCTGGAGAAGACTTTTAAATGACTTTTTTCTTTTGCCTTTTCTCACATTGTTCGCCATAGCTGGGACATGGCATTTCATTTGACAAAAAAAAAATTAATGACTGGTTAAAATTACCCTAGTGGTTCTGGAGGTTAAGATGTAAAAAGTTAACAGACAGACTGACAATTCTTGATCAAAAAAGCTCACTTGAATATTTGGATCAGGTCAGCTGAAACAAATGTACATTGAAGCTGAATTAAATGTAGATGAAAAAATGTTTTTATTTATCAACGTTATTACATGTTAATTTTCAGTACAATGAGAATTATGATAACCAATGTTTGGTGGTTAATTAAAACAGTGAATTATATAAAAGAAATTACACAGATTATGATTTAAAAGATTTATTCAGATTAAATCAAGACGACACTTATCCATAGTTTTGTAAGTACATTTTAAACTTGTTTTAACGAATTAAATTTGTTTAATCAAATTCTACACTTAGGACCTATGGAAAATATATTTATAAATTCGTTATAACGAATTATCCAATTTGTTTAAACGAATTGAAATCTTTATAAAGATTTAAGGATTAGTTTAAAAGAATTTAATTCCTTATATTAAATTTGAGAATTCGTTTAAACGATTCAATTCGTTATAACACATTTCTGAACTATAACGAATTCAACAAATTAGTTATAATAAATTAAATTCTTTATAACTAATCAGAAAAAAAAAAATTAAATTCGTTTTAACGAATTTGACATCATTAACACATGTATATGGAAAGTCATAAATCTGTTATATACTGTACATCAGAGATTTTCCGCTAGATCATTTCAATTTCTATATTCCTTAAAAAAAAATTAAGTCGTAGCTCATATGAAACCTTTTGCAAAGGAAAGAAATCGGATATTGTCTTGCTCATTAGGAAGTGTACAGTAAACATTTCAAACGAATAGATCATGCTTATTAAATGCAGAATCCTGAGTGTCTTTATTTTCTTGAAAGATATAGGATTGCCATCATCAAAAGTCATTTATCCAATATAGATATCATAGCCCAAGGGACAACAAATATACTGAAACGCAAAAGAAACGCATTTTGAGGAAATATTGGCATCACATCGGGAAAAGAAAGAAGGATTTTATACGGAATATTAGTACAATAATTATGATTAACAGCTACAAACCCTTGAAAACCCAAATTATTGTTAAATGTTTTATAAATCATGCATCTTTTTTTATTTCTGTTAAGAGGGTCAAAATCAACTTCCGGTAGTGGAATGAAAATCATTCAACCGTTAAATTACTGATTTGGCTTAGTTGAAGATGTCCTAACTTTTTAAGTTATAACCTGTATATAATTTTCCCCCTAAAATTAGGATGTTGCGTTTCTTTTGCATTTCAGTATTTTAAGCTAAATGATATATTAATATCCTTAAATTTGTCCTGATAATGTACAATGTTGATAACTAAATTAGACGGCGAGATTCAAAAAGGTTTTAATTTTTTGAATGCTCGTATAAAAAACAAAATGTCTCAAATGCTTTTAATGAAAAGTGGCACGACTTCAAATTGCTCACAATTAAAACAAGAGGCCCATAGGCAACATCGCTCTCCTAAACACTTGCTCTAGAGAAAAGCAGAAATCAGCTCTGTATTGAAAAGTCTATATACAAAAGTGGGTTTACCATACTCTCCAAGGCCCGTAGAACGCAGGGTGGGGAGCACATATTTCCTGAATATAAATTTAATTTTGAAGCAGTTTGGCCTCTCACTTTTAGTTACTGTACGGTCGAACACTGGCAAATTCCAGCATTTTGAAAAAAATAATGTAATAAAGAAGGAGTGGCCCCATCCTACCCCTGGGGTCATGATTTGAACAAACTTGAATTTACTTTGCCTGAGGATGTTTCCATATAAATATGACTGATCAAGGCTTTGCTTTTCCCTATATATTCCTCTGTAAATTTTTGGTCGCCTGATGTGGTCCCACCCTAGCCCTGGTCATTACATTTACAGTACCTGAGAATGCTTCCTTAAAAATATGACTAATCATAGTTTTGCTGTTCTTGAGAAGAAGATATTTAAATATTTTTCCTAATTATTCTTATATAAAATTTTAATCACCTATAAGATACCAATGCAATGATTTTAAATATAAAAGTCACCATGTTTAGTTGAGTTGATCATCAACAGATGTTACGGTACACTTCGAATGATATTAGAAACAAAGCTGAAGCACACATAATTGATACATTTGCTTATTCGTATGTATTGTTTCTTTATCTTAGATTGTAAATAATTTTTACCAAACAATAACCTAAGTATAAGTGCGAGATCCCATTAAACACCTAAAAGTTCTTTAGAAATTTCACTGTACTCAATGTTGAACAGGATTGAATTTATAAATTTTGAATCATATGCCAGATAATTTTCCACTCTCTCCTAAGATTTTCCATATTGAAAGCATATATGAAGGGGTTCACAACAGAATTCAAACAAGAGAGTATAGCAGCAATGAACAAATGTTTCTGTGTTCCATGATCAAAGAAGGATACAAAAACCATCGGGCCAGAACAAAAAAGAAGTGCAGCAATAATAAATCCGATTAACTTCATCGATCCAAACAGTTTCTTATTCATTTGATTTATCAACTGATTACATCCAGAGTTAGATACGGTTACTACCTTGTCAGTAAAAATTGATGACGTTGCATTCTGTTTAGCTTGCCAAGCAAATGTTCTTTTGTATCGTTGACGCATCTGGCCAATTGTTAAAACATAAAATAAAATTGTCAATGACAATAGTATTATAGCTGTAGATTGGAAATAAATTATCATAACTGGATAGCGAGCACCAAAAACGCACTTAAATTTGCAGAAGAGTAGTTTATCTGCAACATGGCGGAACTGAACCATAGATATGTTGAAGCCAAGGACAACAATCCAGAAAAGGATATAGACTACATATTTCCTATTGTTCTGCAGCAATTTTTTATCCAGACCTGTACCAGATATTTTCAGAAATCGATGAAAACTGATGAGGAATGTTTGGCAAAACGAAAGCGTAATACCACTGATAAAAAGCACACTAGTGAGAACACATGGAAAATAGGAGTCAGCCAATTTTTGAGTAAAAAGGCGAAGTCCACCAACAAACACACTTATTCCAAGAACCATATCCTTAATAGACAGACAAAGGACTAGATTGAGGTGCGTGTTTTGTCTCAATTCCTTGCTAAAGATGAGAGTTATGAAGACAAAGACATTAAGGATGAATGCTGTGCCTCCAATAAAAAATCCCACAAGGCCTGAAATCAGCCGATCCTTGTCTGTTTTATGTATTGTTCCAATCAATGTCGCTAGGATATCCTCCTTTGCTGTTTCATTGATGATATACTCCAGGCAACTAGGCATATTATCTCAGACACTAAAACTAAACAAAAAATGCTACTAAAATCCTGCAAAAAATGACACCAGAAGAACGTAAAAATCCATCATTTTATGTCCAAAGTTACTTTATTTTTCTCAATTTCATGGTTTATTTAAGTAAAAAACTTATAAATTCAACACGGCACCAATTTTTGGTGAATTTGGTCAACTTGACCATTATAGCAAATTTGAGTAAGAGGAAGTTTGGTTTCTTTGGACATGTTTTAAAACAAAAACATCGATTATTCAATCAAAGTCATGGCTTAGAGCAAGGGATAAATTCACTATAAGAATGAAAAGGGCATAATATAGTTTTACAACCCTTGCACGATTATTTCACTTATACGAAACGTCACCAGCTGGACTTCAATTTAGATCTTTACTTGAGACTCAGGGCCAGTGAGGTATTTTAGTGAGCCAACATCTGTCGTGACACGGGGTCTCGATTTTTAGTGTCTCCCTTGAAGGACCAGCAACTTTCACTTGAAAGTGCCAAGCGCTAGCCGTAGTAACAGTTGCTACCTTTTTATAGACTTGGGTTTTTCGCCAACCCACGACCTTTCGATCGAGACGCGAGCAATCTACCAGCTGATCTACCTAACCATAATTTACCTTGTACGGCATTATTTTTCTTTAATGTGTGGCATCTTCAACAAGAAACACAAACAAAAATATATCGTCCTAGAGAAAAGCATGGGGGTAATACTTTTCTGTGGTTGATTGGTTTTCAGTTAATGTACAGTGTATTTTTCACGAAAAGATAAAGTTTAATGACCAATACAGTCCCTTCAATGTAAGTGTTTAGGCTTTGGGGTAAAGGATATATAACCTTAAAAGGGAATCGATAAAATAAATTCCGATCGTATGAGATGGAATTGTACGGAAGCCCAATAGTGCAAACCAATATATACTAAATAAAAAAAAAATAAATAACACAATAAAAAACGAAGTTATAAAATAAAAAACGTAATTACAAAATAAAAAACCGAAACTAATAAAAAACGAAATTATTACACAGAAAAAAAAACGAAATTACAAAATAAAAAGCGAAATTACGAAGCCCCCCCCCCCCGAAAAAAAAAAAAAACGAAATAAAATACTGACATTAAAAGTGCATGGTAAGGACGTGAACCCATGAGCCATTCCACATAATGCACATTCGTGAAGTTTCAGCACGCGAGAGCGATATACATTGTATATCTTAAGGTCCATACTATTCACTAAGAAAATACCTAATTAAAAAGAACAGTTTTATGCAAGTGTGTGCATTGTTTGATCATAACTATAACTGAATAGAAATACAGATTTGAAAATTTATCATTTAAAATACGCGATAAATAGTTATATATAATGCAACACTTCTATTTAAACTTTGATAAAATGACTATGAAATTAGAAATATATTGTTTAAGTCTTAATGAAGTAAACAGTCATTACAACCTGCTGTATGTATAAACACTTTGACTTGTTCAATTTTTTAGCACTTTCTCTCTATAATTCTTTTTTGATGATATCGAACAAACCCGCAAAATCTGATCGGTAACGTATCATTTTACAGCATTGTTGTGGTTTGCGATAAGTTGACTAATGATGTATAGCCATGGGAATTTCTAAATGTTATAAATTTCATGTTGTAAACATCGGAATCTTGACAAACAGACATGTATATCCTAAAATATTTGGTCAATTGCTAGTATAATCTCTGATATTTCATGTCCAGATTTATTTTGTTATTTCGTTTTTTATTCAATAATCCATTTTTTTTTCAAATTTAGTTTCGGTTTTTAATTTTGTAATTTCGTTTTTATATTTTATAAATTCGGTTTTTTTTTTTATTTTGTAATTCCGTTTTTTTTAATTCTGAATCAATAATTTCGTTTTTTATTTAGTTTCGGTTTTAAATGTTGTAATTAATTTTGTTTTGTATTTTATAATTCCGTTGTTTAATTTCGTAATTTCGTTTTTTATTTTGTAATTCAATTTTTTTTTAATTTAGTTGTGGTTTGCACTATTGGGCTTCCGTAAAATTGTGTTTGTTTGCGTGAGGCAATTATAAATAGCATGCATACTCTAATAAAGTGAATTGTAGGAAAACTACCGAATTGAAACGTATAAAAATGCCTTTGAAGTACTGTATAGTTTGCCATTTTTTTTTTCTTGAAACAAAAGGTTATGTCTATGATTTAAATCATAGATAGAAATGGCGTTTTTAAACAGTTTATGAATTAGAGTAAAATCAAAAGCAACCCCTTTTTGATCCTTGACTTTTGTTTATTTTTTCAATTCTACCTTCAAGAGGTAAGATATATTTAGGCACATTTACTATGCATAGGATTTCTGTTTAACTCTTAAAGAGCTCCCATACCTCTTACATCAGCAGAAAGAAAACTGTGCACTCTAATTCTAGGATTTAGAAAGTCAATGTATTTTTCAAATGATATTTCATATGTTTTTCATCAATTCTGAAAAAAAAATGAACATTAAGTTGAAAAAAAGTTTTCAATATAATTCAGAATTGTTTAAAATACTTACTTTACCCAATAGCGCTAAACTCCAAAACAATTTGTAATGACAAATGCAATTCCTTTGTCTGAATTCTCCTTTTGATCAAGGCAGTTTATATATCTGTGTATTGAAATATAAGCTACAACACTCTGAAACAAGACCTTTATATCAGGACGACTTGTTTTAAAAAATCAATTTATTGTTATGGGTATAATTCTGTGTTACCTACAGTAGTAGCAGGGAAACGTTAAAAGACGCTTACTTCTCGTCAATCGACTTAAATTTATGTCACATGTCTTCAGCTCCTAGAAAAGCTGCATATGATGCCATGCAAAGCCTCCAGTGTACGACAGTCACTGTGTTTCGAAAAAAAGCCTGTCTTACCAAACGTGAGTAGACATGTTGGTTTTGGCTTGCCTGTCCGTCCGCCTGTCTAGCAGTTTCTGTATTAAAAATCGTGTCCAGGCAATAACTAGAGAAACTTAATTAAATGCACGACAAAAAGAGGTGTATGTTGAAATCGCGCATTAAGTGATTGAGGTGCAATATGAAAAGCATCTATCCTTCTGTCTTCGACAATGCAGAAGTGAAACAAGAATTAGATAGATTACACGATCAGTATGTACCGGTCCCCGCTGACAAAGCAGGTAACAACATTGTCTTTGTAAAGCTCATTATTTGAATTGTATTTTAGAGGAACTAGGATTTAATTCTGCTTGTGGTAATTCAAATTATACCCATAGCACCCTTTCTAAAGAGGAAATTCTTCAAAACTATATGTCAGTTTTAAATATTTTTAATATTAACAACAATCAAAACGAATTTGAACTACCATACGCATACTGGATTCCAAAATCCATAAAAAAATCCTTACAAAGATACAAATTTACAAAGCGGGTTCCGGTAAATGTTCTACCAAGCCTCTTTCTTTACTCCTCATTAAAATATTTACAGCAGTGATTCCAAGACCTTGAATCAAGGTCATGTTTCAAAAGTCAAGGCAACTTAATAATCATCGTCTCAAGCCACGGTCCGGAGACCGCACATAGCTCTCTCCTACCCGTGGCTGCTTGATCACAAAAAGTTGTAATCTTGAATATTTACGCCTCTATGTTGTGAAGCCATGTGCAGCCAATGACAATATTTGTTTCCATCGGAATTGAAATCAGCAACTGACATCAACAGTAAACAAGAAATGTTTCGTTTACTGTGATTGGGTATTGAAAGGTAGCGCCAAAGTTCATTATCCGACTATGCTTTACTCACATTGGTTAATATTTTAATGAGCTGCGAAATATTCTCATCTCATTCAACCACGGCCAGAATGGGAGAGGATCGTACATTTTGGCCGTGGTTTGCGACGATATCGATGCTTAATAATGTGACACCGAATCATGTTTAGGCCTATGTCATACTGGTACTTTGGAACTTTGGAGTCCTTGATTGAATTTATTTACGACATTTATGTTAATGCTTATCACACAAAGGTGTGTGGTGGACTTAATTCAAGGTCATATTTCAAAATTCAAGGACCTGTTACCTAAAACGTGCAATTCCATGCTTTATAAAATGGGAGAAACAGGTTCCATAACCAATAATCTTTGGTATTCTTATACTTCACCTTGCTAGATTATTTTTTCTAAAACGTCAAAATACGCAAGTACACAGGACTACATTATAAGACTCTAAAGTTGGTCAACTTATGTGCACTGTTGAAAAAAAATTAATGAATAAAAATGTAATGATGTAATGATAAATTTTAATTATCGATTTAAAAATTTTATCAAAAGGTTGTCTGGTTAAATCAGGGACATCGCATTCATATCGGAAAAGAAGGCCACCTTTAAAAAATGTTTGTTTGCCCTCTCCCGACCAACTGATTAAAAACGGCCGACTCAAAACATTGTTTGACGTCCAGGAAACAATTATTTTTTTTAATTCATTAATTTAATAACTACTTTTATTATATACCCAAGAGTGTATCACTGAATTTTACTGTAGATTTCGTACAATCACGTGACGGTGTGATCCGACTTTCCGGATCACCACACTGTGGTTTTCTGAATCCATATCACCCCTCTCTGAAATTGATGACGTAGTACACAGAAACATGACGTTATTTTTCATGCGCATCAAATGTTCCTAGACAAAATGCTTTGTTTAATGGAAAAATCTTATATAATTGATCTCAAAAGTTTTTTTTAAAACTATATTTTGCTAGTTGTAAGGGGGTATATAATAAATTTATCATTATAACAGTAACTTGATCCGAAGAGCCGTATCACGTCTCATTGACAGGCGCGGATCATCAGATCAAACTCGACGCTTCGCGTCTCGTTTGATCTGATGATCCGCGCCTGTCAACTCGACGTGATACGACTCTTCGGATCAAGTTACTGCTATAATAATGTATATTATTATATACCCAAGAGTGTATCACTCAATTTTACTGTAGATTTCGTACAACCACGTGACGGTGTGATCCGACTTTCCGGATCACCACACTGTGGTTTTCTGAATCCATATCACCCCTCTCTGAAATTGATGACGTAGTACACAGAAACATGACGTTATTTTTCATGCGCATCAAAAAGTTCCTAGACAAAATGCTTTGTTTTATGGAAAAATCTTATATAATTGACCTCAAAAGTTTTTTTAAAACTATATTTTGCTAGTTGAAAGGGGGTATATAATAAATTTACCATTATAACAGTAACTTGATCCGAAGAGCCGTATCACGTCTCGTTGACAGGCGCGGATCATCAGATCAAACTCGCCGCTTCGCGTCTCGTTTGATCTGATGATCCGCGCCTGTCAACTCGACGTGATACGACCCTTTGGATCAAGTTACTGTTATAATAATGTATATTTATGTAATAAATTTTCGTGGTTTGAAGGAAAAACGGTTTTGGGGAAAGTGATTTCGTGGTTTACGACATGTTGCTAAGAAAGTTCAAAATTCAAACTTTTGTGGAAGACATGAATTCGTAGATATCTTCATACAACAAAAACGACGAAAGTTACCCCCCCCCCAAAAAAAAAAAAAAATTACTGATATCACGATAGATATTTATTTCAACACATTCAAACATACTTTAATTATATATTCCACACGATTTAATTACCGGTAAGTTAAATCTTCAATTAATTATAAATACTTATTTTCAAGTGAAAACCAATAGGCTTAGATACTAGTTTCACCTCCGAGGGTAAGATACTGGATTAATTCAGAGGTTAGGATACTGGCCTCAACTGAGAAGGTAGCTAAGATACTAGCCTCAACTCAGAGGGTAAAATACTAGCCTCAACTCAAGGGGTAAATTACTACTGAGCTCAGTTCAGAGGTTAACATATTAGCCTCAACTCAGAGGGTAAAATACTAGCCTCAACTCAGGGGATAAAATGCTAGTCTCAACTCAGAGGATAAGATACTAGCCTCAACTCTGAGGGTAAATACTAGCCTCCATTCAGGGGATGGGAATATTAGCCTCAACTCAAAGGTTAAAATACTAGCCTCAATTTAGAAAGTGAAATAACAATTTCAATTCAGTGGGTAAATTACTAAGATCAACTCACAGGGTAAATTACTAAGCGCAATTTAGAAAGTAAAATACTAATCTCAATTCAGAGGTTAAAATACGAGTCTCAACTCAGAGGGTAAAATACTACCTCAACACAGAGGTTAAGATACTATAGAGCAATACAACCTTTCCTTTTAATGACATTAATCGATGTCAGTGATGGCTGTCGGGAAAAAAATAGCATTACACCCGATAATCAAATTAAATTTATGATATATTCTTATGTTATTGATATATGTTAAATCAAGTAGTCTGATGAATAACAGGCTTGTTATTTGAATTAACGTAGAAGTTGACATCGAAGCTATGTTAAGGCTTCCCAAAGCTTTAAAACACGCTCAAAACATAATATGTCATTGCGAGGTGGTTTTGGTTTTAATTTATAAGTATTGAACTTAAGTACTTCCAATTTATAGAGAGGGTTTCCTCGGCTATATATAAACATATTTGTTATGATATCACACGACTTTGTTGATCATGTGACGGTCATTTATAATTTTTTGAAGTGTTTCATATAAATCACTTCGGCGCAGGTGATTAACACAATTATTATTAACATTTTGTTATATAAATAAACTCATCGTATCCTTGTGTATCCGAAATGTGCTTGGGAAAAGTCATAGTATTACTTAGATACAAAATATTTCATGAGAAATTCAACTTATCTACAAATTTTAGGGTATCTTCCACACAATATCGTAAACTGTATTAAAACAAAGCCATCACACATTTTTCCCAAGCAAGATTCAGTTAGAGAACAACCTCTTCTTACAGATTTCCACAAAAATTCTCAGATTAATCCTCATTAATCACCTGCGCCAGACTCTTTTATACACACAAAATAAATTCTACCTCCAACCACGGGTATAAAACATTTCAAAAGTATATTTTTCATAAGCATTTTGAACATGCTGAATTTCAATCAGGGGTAGGTAAGCGGTGTATTTTTAAAATATTCGGACATATAAGACTTAAAAAACCTTTAACTACCCGTGAATTTTGCAATAGCTATATAGCATTTTACATTCAGTTTGAGAAGAAGTGTTAAGTTCATGACACTCTCCCCGTCATAACACCTCAAGTTTGCACTGACTTGACGTCATTTTCCATTATGACGTCATATTTTGGTAGTTCAGAGATGTGAAGGCACAGGGTGCACTGTGATATTCTACGGGAAGCTTTAACCTACCTGCAATCCTCTTTTAACAATTTATAGCTTTGTATATACCGGATATGCAAATCGGCCTTTGCGGATCTGTTAGTGTCTGAAGCAAATCACGTGATCTTAAACAAACGTATTTAAGCGAGCGCAGCTAAGCTGCGAGGTTCTTTTGAATCCAGGCAGCAGAGACAAGAAGTGTGTTCGTTCGGAGATACGGTTAGTTGGGTGGATTGCCTAATACTGAGGCTTGCCACGATTATTTTATCAATACTAATACTATAATAATAGGTGGATTGCCTGAGACGAAGGCTTGCCACAACAAATAAGTAGTATTGCGTGACTAACCATTTAGAGGCCGACCATAGAGGGAGGACAACCCCTCAGAGGCTTGCCTGGTAACCTTCATAGACAGTGTAAGTCTCTGATAGCAGTGGATGACTGTACATCTGTACAAGGACGACTCAGTATATCTTCTGTTGTCGGAGGCTGACCACTAGTTGTAGGTTGGCATCGTGACAGACACTACAAGCCGGAATAAGGCATAACTGGTGTCTGTCCGATGGCATTTGTGAACCTCCACTTTCTTTTATCAATATAAGGCTGACCTTCAAGTGTGATTTTCCCCTAAGTAAGGGAAGGACCATATCTGTATAAATTTGCAGGCCAATCATTTTAAATAATCATTTTTAAGAGGAAAATTATTTGTTATTTTATTCATCCAAAATCGAGATCCTGGGATCAACCAGGTACGGACCCCTCAACACGTTACACTCTTATTGTGACACGATTGAGGTGTTTTTGTTTGAAGTTTGCTGTTCTGTATTAGCAATACAGAACGGGAATACGGTGGGCGAAGCTACTTTCCGTTCTGTATTAGCCATGTATACTGTCTTGTATTAGCCAACTGTCCTGTATCTAAAATACAGCAAGGTCTAAAAATAAATCTGATTCAATTTATCAAAAGCACGTAGACATAGTAAATGCTGATTTTTTTTCCTATTATAAATTTTGAAGAAATATTTCCTTAGGAATGTAAAATGTCAAAATTTCTCAATCACTTTTAAAAAATTATTCCACACAGAATCTACACGTTATTTCGATCCAAACGAAAAGGAAAATTCGCAATTATGGAAAACATCGTATGTTGGATAAATTCCTGAAAACCTGTTTGCTTTCCCTGCTTTTTTGTGTCCCCTTCAAAATAGTAAAGCCAATGGGTTCGCGGATGCAGCATACATTACGTGAAATTCTCCCCCTCCCCCCATTTTCCACTCTTCTCGTGCAAACTCAAGTCCATTTTTCAGGTTTTTTTTAAAATTTCCTCTTAAATCCTTATCGCCTGTAGCTCGAAAAACTGTCTGTATCGCCTGTATGTGTATCTAGTTATACTGAGATTTTGAGACCCCTGAAATAAATTAGGATCAATCTCCAACAAGGTTAAATCGTCCACCTTATCAATTAAGACTGACTTCAAGTCTGTTTTGTCTACCCCGTTGTCAAAACTAATCTGACTAAATCTTATGTTGTCAGTGGAAATATATATACTGCGGATGTATACTCCCCGTCGAGGCCTCATCTACAGAGAGAACAAACGAACTCTGGCGGAAGTTTGGATGCTGCAAAGCTATGAAGTGGGTGGTGCTTTTTTTGATTGATCGTGTCACAAATCATTTAGAGAACTCGACAGGTTCTGTATCGTAGATACAAATTTGGGGGTGGAGACTCGTGCTACGCACTCGTCCACCCCCAAATTTGTATCAACGATACAGTACCTGTCTCGTTCTCTAAATAATACTTAAAATATTGTCTTTTCAAAATATCGTTTCCGTCCTTGGTCTAGTGAAATTAACTTTATTTCATAAAAGAGACATATTCGGTACCATCCTATGTGGCAATTCTTTTTCATGTTGTTAGTGAAGTTTTATGTGTGAATCATCAAAACAGATATTAAAATTCATTTGATATTGTAAGGTTCAACGTTTGTTATCAAAGAAATGCTGTGATTATGTGCATTGTAATATATGAATTTGTTTGGCTCTACCAAGTAAACTTTATTTTTTCAAAATATGCTACAAAATGAGAATTGTTAGATGTAATTCCTGAAAAAGATATATTAAAGCAAAAATCCTTCCCTTCCCAGCAAGAAACAAGCAGAAATAAAAATGTGACACTGATGCATGTTCCAAATCAATTTATTTTGTATACAGTAACGTTGGGTACATGCTCAATATTTTATGTAGATATTAAGAACTTCAGCTCGTCCATACTCTGAAATCCAAAATAATACTTTAAGTGCATGGAATCAACAGAAGTTCAAAAAAAGTCTGCTATTTACTAATTACAAAGGTTGTCCCAAATTCCGTAGACTGAGTTCATATCTTTAATAGAAATGAATGAATCTTTATAAAATTTTCTGCGTGCATGGATAGAGTGAGTGTGATGTTGGCAGGTAAAGTAATAAGTTTTAACACGATTTAACACGATTACTTGAAAACATTTCGAGTAATAAGATTTGAAGTGTCATCGTTCTCTGAGCAATCCCCGATGTCAAAAAGATAAATGTCAATGGTTCAGATTTTGGGGCGAAAATTCTCTAGTTACGAAAATCAAATTCTTTAATTAATCATAAAGAGTATGGATATAAATGTGAAATGTCTTTAAGTTAATTATTATTGTGTGATTAAACATTAAAATATATGAATAAAGTATGTACATGTATGAATGAAATATGGAGATAACGAACAGTATTCAAGCTCAAAAGTCCATTGAAACACTACAAATCGGGAACAGAGGAAACACGGACCTCTAAACAAACATTAGCTGTGGGATCACGTGTCATGAAAGAGTAAGCATAACCTGTCGACCCGTTATATTATGTGCTCATTGTCATGTTTAAATATTGGCCGAACAATTAGTATGATTAATTGATTGAATGTTGTTTTACGTCCCATTCGAGAATTTTCACTCACATAGAGACGTCACCATATACCGGTGAAGGGCTTCAAATTTTGACCTTAACTCGGCACTCAGGGCCATTGAGCAGTGAGGGATATTTATCGTGCAAACGCCTGCTGTGACACGGGGCCTGGATTTTTAAGGTCTTATCAGAAGGATCCGCAACTTTTACTTCAAAGTGCCGAGCGCATGGCGAAGGAACAGTTGCTACCCATTTTTTTTTATCGACTTCGGTCAGTCGCGGCCGAGATTCGAACTCACGACCTCCCGATCATGGAGCGAGTGTTCTACCGACTGAGCTACCGTGAACGGTAACAATTAGTATGAAAAACGTCAATCAACATTCGACATAATGATTATATCGACCATAGAACTTGCAAAATTGTGACTTTAAATGATATTGTAGATATCCTTGTCTCATCAACTTTTTTGTCAATAGCTTGTCTTGTTTTAGAAGTCGAATAAACTTGGAGATATAAACCCATATGCAGGTGATAAGGATATATTGCTACATAAGTAAGGTCAGTTGACGATTAAAAAGTTGAAGTCGTCATGTTTATCATAAAGTTTTGTTGTTAAGTTACAGTTAGCGTCTTTTTCTAGTAAAATAATCAAATATGAAACAGATGTGTCAGACTCTGTGCTATCTTTCTTAATTCTTTTTTATTTCAAGGTCACTGGGATAGATCGAATCGACATATGAATGGAAGTAACTATTGTTAATAGCTAATACGTCGTCGATATTTCTATACGTCGAGTTGAAGACCACAGCTAGTGTACTCTTCTTCTCATTTATAAGTTTTTGAATAAATTCCTGCTTTATATGAATACAAAAATAGGACTGCTAATAACTGGGCACAGCTTGTACCCATGGGGATTCCGACAGATTGTTGAATACCTGATCTCCAAAAAAAATTATAGATATTGCCAATTAGAAACTCGAGCATTTTTTTAATATCTACCTCCGGGTACTTGTGTCAAAAATTTGTGATTTCAAATTTTCTAAAAATTCCTTAGAGTTTTTAAGTAACCACATCTGATTTACACATTTTCTCGAAAATATTGTTGTATAGTACTCTTGAAGTTTCTTCACTGCTGTTAATATTTCAGTGAGGAGTAAAGAAGAGGCTTGGTAGAACATTTACTGGAACCCGCAATGTATCTTTGTTTATAAGGATTTTTATGAAGTTTAGAATTCCAATGTTGTTATGGTAATTCAAATTTCAAATTCATTGTGATTGTTGGGAATATTAAAAATATTTAAAACT